GATAATCGAAGTTGGGCTTTCCGCTGGGTGTCACCCAGAGCCTCCTGCTACCCCAGTCCTCTGTGAAGGCGCTGGAAAAAACACAGGGCAAGTTGGGGAGCAGGTAGCCCTTGAAAAAGTCTGCGTAGGAAAAGGAGTCCGGCTTCTCGATGAAGTCCACGCGATCCAGTTTCGGACAAACTCTGCTGGGGAGACGCCCCTCGAGGCCTCCAAAGTGGCTCTCGGCGAACACGCGCGTCTCCCTGTCCATCCCGGGCCAGGTTTTGCGTCCGTGGCGCGCGGGGTAACCTGGGATGGGAGTCTGCCTCGGGGGGACGGGGAGTCTGGAGGGCTGCTGGGGACTGGGCGGGGCTCGGGGGCTGTCGAAGGAGCGGCGGGGACAGAGGGGCTGGTGCGGACGGTGGAACCAGCCAGGTGAGGCCTCCCGGCCGTGGACCGGAGAAGGGCGGAAGCCCAGAATCCCACTCGCGCATTCTCACGTCTCTGCTCTTTAAACTGGGAAGAGAAAAAAGGAAGTGTTCGCTAAATCTGCTTCCGGAGTAAACGCTCTGGGCGTCCGTGGCTCACAGCCCACAGCCGGCCAGGGAGAAACCGGCGAAGTACAGACAGCAAAGCCCGAGGTAGTCCCAGAGCAGTCAAGTGGAACCAAGAGTCTGCACTCGGAGTTCCTGCCGGAGCCTGAAACACGGCGAGCCAGGCCCTGCGCGCATGCTCGCTTCATGCTGCGGCCCGCCGGGTACCTGAACGGCCTGCAGCGGCTTCGACCCAGCTTCGGGTACCCTGGGGCTTCACAGGTTGTCGAACGGTGCCGGCCCCAAGTCTCGCCGTTTTCTCGTCTTCCCAGCGACTCAGGTAAGCGGTGTCTCCAGTCTGCAGCTGGGCTTGTGCTCTTCCGTCATAATCCCTCCTGACGCTACCAGCGAGGTAAGGACTCCTCTTCTTTCCTTTCTTAACCTTCGAGGACTGCGGAAGGTTGGTGGGATGTGGGCAGGGCTAACAAAGAGGTGCAAGGGCGAAAGGTGGGATCTGAGGGATGCTGGGGGTCTTTAAGGGATGCTGGGGACCTGGAGGGGATGGAGAGGCCGTGGCTAGGGAGATGGTGGAGGCCTAGGGAGATGATGGGGACTTGGAAGGAATGCTGTAATTTGCCGGTGATGGTGGGACCTGGTGGGGTTGCTGGATAAATCTGCTTCCGGAGTAAACGCTCTGGGCGTCCGTGGCTCACAGCCCACAGCCGGCCAGGGAGAAACCGGCGAAGTACAGACAGCAAAGCCCGAGGTAGTCCCAGAGCAGTCAAGTGGAACCAAGAGTCTGCACTCGGAGTTCCTGCCGGAGCCTGAAACACGGCGAGCCAGGCCCTGCGCGCATGCTCGCTTCATGCTGCGGCCCGCCGGGTACCTGAACGGCCTGCAGCGGCTTCGACCCAGCTTCGGGTACCCTGGGGCTTCACAGGTTGTCGAACGGTGCCGGCCCCGAGTCTCGCCGTTTTCTTGTCTTCCCAGCGACTCAGGTAAGCGGTGTCTCCAGTCTGCAGCTGGGCTTGTGCTCTTCCGTCATAATCCCTCCTGACGCTACCAGCGAGGTAAGGACTCCTCTTCTTTCCTTTCTTAACCTTCAAGGACTGCGGAAGGTTGGTGGGATGTGGGCAGGGCTAACAAAGAGGTGCAAGGGCGAAAGGTGGGATCTGAGGGATGCTGGGGGTCTTTAAGGGATGCTGGGGACCTGGAGGGGATGGAGAGGCCGTGGCTAGGGAGATGGTGGAGGCCTAGGGAGATGATGGGGACTTGGAAGGAATGCTGTAATTTGCCGGTGATGGTGGGACCTGGTGGGGTTGCTGGGGGTTAGGGGAGTGCTGAGGGCTAAGGGCGATGCTGGAAACATGGAGGGGATGTGTAGACCAGGATAGGATGGATGGGACCTGGAGGGGGTGGTGGGAACCTGGAGGGGATGCTGGGAGAATAGGGAGGGTCTGAAGTGAAGGTGTGGAAATACGAGACTGGGCACACCAGACCTGAAATGAGGAACAAAAAAGGGGGACTTGAGTGGGGATGACACGTCAGGGTCTCAGCATGTTGGAGAAATACATGTTCTTTCAACTCAGATCTACCCGTATTAGTATGGGAGAGAAGAAAACAGTTTCATTACTGTTTGAGCAGATTACGTACATTTAAGGCATCTGGAAAAGAGTAGAGTTGGGCAGAACTTAACACATTTCACACACAAAAAGCAGAGAAAGAATTGTGAAGAGTTCTGTCATCGCCTTTAGGAAAGTCTGTGCCTGACAAGAGACTCTTGCCTGGGTTCTGGAGGTCCCTGTTTATTTACAGCTCTGAGTCAGCAGGTGGTGACTGTGCCCTGTAAAATCTGAACACTGAGTTTTTTTCATTCCTGACCCAAAGAAACACTCAAAGGGTAGAGAAGGAGCAACTTCTTCCCCTTTATTGAGCAGTGAAGATGTAATCTTGTTTATCCTATAGGTGGCATAAGGGAGACTCTGGGGATATTGTGGCTCTGAGCTTTGGAGAGGGGTTTGGGGGGTGGAGACTCTTTCCAAGGTGTTTAAAGCTTATGCAGGAGAACAACAAGAACCAGAAGTGGGGAAAGGCAGAGGGGAAGACTAGGAAGAAAGTGAGTTAGGGAGAGTCTGAAGTCCAGCTAGAGGAGGGGTCTGAAGTGGGAGCTGAGAACACGGGTAAGATGGGACAGGTGGTGAGGAGTTTGTGGCAGGCAGAGCAGTGTGAGAGGGTGTGTGATCCTGTGCACTTTTCCCAGTCTGTCCTATTGTACCTAACATGGTCAAGCTGTGGAATTCTTCATCAGCCCAGTGTTGGACAGGAAGTTAGAATACCCTGGGAAGTTAAAATGGAGAATAATAGTCACCCTTAATTTCCATCCAGAGATGAGCATTTTTTCGTTTCTTGATATAGAGTTATCCTTCCAGGCATGTACTCACTCATTTGTTTTTTTCTCTATGATCCTCTCTGCACACACACACACACAGTCTTTTTATTTTATATGTAAGTGAATTTACATATGTAAGCTTTTGCTGCTTTTAACTTTTTTTTTTCTTTTAACTTTTTAAAAAAGATGAACAGTTGTCAGTTTTTTAACCACATATTGACTGGCTGTTCCTTAATTATTTGATTTTAGCTGTGGTAAGTGCAGATCATGGAAGGCAAATAGGAAAAGTATGGGAAGCAGAGTGTTCATAATTGTCTAAAGATTTGGGAAATATGGTTCAAAGTTTGCATTGTAAGGGAAATATTAAGTTCAGATAGACATTGCCTGGGAAGAATTCCAGAATTCTAGCTTCTGAAGCTCTGTGGTTGCGACTAAGTTTTATAAGTAAGAGGATGCTTTAGGCCAACAGGTCCCCGTGCTTCCCAGGATTGTTGAGGCAACTGAACCAGTAGCTCCGGGTAGGAGAGCACGTCTCCTTTCTTGAGCATTTGCCCTGGGCCAGGCATTTTGTCCTGTATTTTCTTTAGTTTGTATGATGGCTCTCTAGTGTTGACCCTGTTACCACCCTTGTATGCATGAGGCTCTGACATAGCTATTGAGAACTGGATTGGGACTGGAACACAGGTCTGTGTTCCTCCAAGGCCCCTCGACAGCAGCCCTGATACCACCTGGGCACTGTTGGGAAGTGCACATTCCTGAGCCCCACCCAGAGCTGAATCAGATCTGGGAGCATGGCATGCCTTATCACACCCCAATGACAGACCCCACAGAGGGCCAGAGGAAAAATGGCAGGAAGGGAGTTTAAAAGTTAGCATTTGTAGGAAATGCAGTGGGAATAACGTAAAATCCTAGTTCTCGGCTCTGAGAAGTTAAGAAGATGGTGCATGCCTTGTGAATAGGCTATGTTATTGCAATGAAACACCCCAAACCTCCCAGGTTGAAAGTGGGAGCCTCAGAGGAGCAGGAGGTGAAGGTAATGGAAAAGACTGACCGCTGGTGCCTGGAGACACTGCTCCCACTGTTCTGACTCTAATCCTTCTTATGGTCAGGAGTTATTGGAAGGTGTGTAAAATGTTGCTTGGTCTGTTACATTGGAAATTAACTAAAAATAGGGTGTTTACTTGATACTGAGTCTACTCCAGGACACAGGTCTGATGGAAGTGCTAAAAGAGATCCATTATACGAACTGCAGTGTGTTGTAAGTTCAGTCCCTGTGACCACTCATTTCTTCCCCAAGAGCATCACTGTGTGGATTAGTCTCAGACACTCTTGAGGTAGTTTGCCATGACCTCCCCTCCCTGATTCAACTCTATCCATAGGGTCAGCAGGTGTGTTGTGTTTTCACTGGAGATGTGGGTTCCAGGTTACAGCAGGTGAGGACCAAATAAGGACTCCAGGAACTTAGCATAGAATGGTGACCTAATTTAGCATATAGGAAGAAGAAAACTGTCTCCAGTGGACACAATGGGTGTTTTCACATCATATGATTTGTAGTTCACTCATCCCATATTTACTGGGTTCCTGTGATGCACCAGTATTGTCCCCAAGGCACCCTCCTGGTAGTGTTTGCCTTCTCCAGTGTTTTGATCCAGTTGGTCAACATGTAAACTCGTTCACAGGCTCTTTGGAATTACGTGAGTGCTGTGGTTGGTGAAGAGGCAAGGATGCCCCTGGAACAGAGATCTGGAGAGTGAGGTGGAGTTGGCCACTCAGAGTCCTAAGAGCAGTGGGTGGGGAGCCCTGAGGAGCAGAGCAGAGAGAGCGGCTCTGTCTACTGGCCTGGGTGGTGTGGCTGTGGTTACCAAAGCCTACCTGGCTTAGCTGGTGACTTTACTCAAGGTACACGGGGAAGGGTTTCCGCAGAAGAGTGACCTTTTCTCATTTTGTTTGTGGTTGTCGCATCGGCTACTGGATAGAGAACGAGTGGTGGGGGCAGAGGGAGACAAGGAGGTCAGTTGGGGAGTTGTCCAGGACAGTCGTGACAGCCTTGCCTAGTGGTGTGGCTGTGGGGGTGGGGAGTGCAGAGGGCAGGTGTGAGATGCAGCTGCCGGGACTTGCTGATGGGTTGAGAGGGATAAGGAAGAGGGAATCTACGAGAACTCACCTGGCTCTGCCTTCACTGAAATGCAGGAGCAGATGGAGAGGCTTGCTTAGTTGGAAATGTCTATTAAATGGTCAGGTGGAAATGCCCAGGCGGTACTCAAGTCTCAAGAGAATCTGGGCTGGACAGGAAAGTTTGCCAGGCAACAGCTGGAAGGTATATTTAATGCCATGAAACTGTGTTGACTCACTTAAGAACAGAGTATTGATGAAGAGGACCAAGGTTGTGACCTGGTGATTCCAACATTTAGCAGTCAGATAGAAGACGAAGAACCAGCAGAGCAGACGGAAAATAGCCTCCAGGGGGTGGGAGACCAGGGGAGCATGGTATCCAAGAATCCAAGAGATGATGGCTCTCAGGAGGTGGGCAGGTGTGTTGGACAGAGGTTAGAGCAGATGTGTGCTTCAGATTTGGCCACCTGGAGGCCTGGGCTGAGACTGTCCGCGAGCAGAGGGGCAGGAGCCTGTCTGGAGAGGGAGAGTCCTGGCTGGTGGCCGAGCACAGGGACACACTTGGAGTCTCTTGGAGGAACAGTGAGCGGACTGTGCGGACTGTCTGGCTACTTATAGTCTATGCAACAGCAGCATAGTTTAACAGAGACCATGCGCTCACAAAGCCTAAAATATTTACTACTTGGCCCTTGGGGGAAGAAAAAGCATGCCCTGTCCTAGTAGTGAAGGGACAGAGAAGTTATTGTTGCTAGAGAGGAGGAGGTTGGGGTCAAGAGAACTGGAACGTGGTCTTTGAGGGAGTGGGGACACTGCTTCCCGTAAACTGTGCGTGGAGAGAGGAAAGGCAGACACCCGGGGACAGGTGTGGTATCCGAGCTGAGGGAAAGGGAGGGTGTGTGTGGGGTCATTCTAATGCACACGGGAATGTTGTTCCTTTGGCTCTTCCACTTAATCGTCATTCATTTTGGTCTGATTGGAAGGCTGCCATGGAAAGCTGTTGTAGGAAAAGTTGTGGCTACAGGTTTCTCCTTCTGCTTTTTCCTTGGTTTTCGTCAAACCCAAGTACTTTTCTCATATTTCTTCTGTATACTATGGGAAAGAGAAATGTTTTTGTTCTTCTTTCGAATTTTCTTTCCTCTTTTCTTTCTTTTTGAATTTTAGAATAGTTTAGAACTGCTGTTGTCCTTAGGGCTTTTAGTGATTTTAATGGTTAACAGAGACCCAGAAGGTGAAATAACTTTTCCACAGTCATAGAGTTTGTGATGGAGCTGGCGTTGGAGCTACAGCATGGTTCCTTGGATGCTGCAGTGGCAGACTCAACAGTCCTTTGGGGAATTTGTGCATAATCTCAGTGTTCAAGGAATCCCTCCCAGGTACATACTCAGGAATGACAGCTCAAGTCAGGTAATTGTTGATATAAATTCAGTTTTCATGCTAACTCAATGTCTTAAGTATGGGGACGGGCAGTAAACAGATGTGGCCCTCATCAGCTCTCTCGGGGTTTATGTCAGGCACAGAGTGGCCCAGTGGCAGGACGCTTTCTTCAGGCAGAAGGACCGGGGTCCTGCCAGCTTCAGAGCTGTGAGCCTGACCAGAGCCGTGAGCCCACTAGTGACTGAGGCCAGAGGTACCTTGTCTTGGTCGTGGAAACACTGAAAAGCATGGTTAAATTGTTGGGGTTAGTCGTCCCCTGATTCTCAGAGTGAAAGTCTCTTCCTTATTCACATCTGGATGACTGCCCCGTGGCCTCATGGCAAGACGCTGCTAGCAGGTCGTGCAGGTGGCTTGCCAGGGTCCTTCCAACTAAGGGGGGGCGACGATGTGTCAGTCATAACACGCTGAAGGCCTGCACCTCCTTTGCTCCCCTGTCCTGGGAGAGGCCCCACAGCCTGCTTTATGTCTGTTTCAGAGTGCTTGGGTGAGTGTCCTTTCTGGGAGAAAGGTCTGATGAAGGCCCTTTGGCTCTGCAGCCCCCTTTGTCCGGTGGGAACCACTGTTTAAGGGGAAAGGCACCCTCCCAGCTGCTCCGCCCCTTGCATTGTGCTTCTGCGCAGTCCCAGCGAGTGCCGGAAGGACCTGCCAGGGAGCTCACAGATAAAGCCTGCAAAGAAGACGACACCAGTCTTTGGTACAGAAGGTCAGGAGTTTCAAACGGCTGAGATCTTCGTTAGTTTTCCAGTGACATAAGAGCATGGATTTCCTGGAGCATTTACAGAGCCCTGCCAAGTTGGGACTATGAGGTTGCTTGTTTGTTCAGTGTGTTTTTAGTGTTGGTCTGGCATTCATCATCATGTTGGCTAAGAAGATGGATTCTTGGGTTCATGTCTCCTAAATATGTAGATCCTAAGGCTGTTGCTTTCTCAGAATTGACACTCAGAGAAAACACTTGAAGATGCTAATACTCCTGAAAGTACTAGCCAAGCCATCAGTGGACTTTTAATTTTTTTAAAAATCTACTTATTTATTTATTTTTGGCTAAACCGAGTCTTCCTTGCTGTGTGTGGGCCTTCTCTAGTTGTGATGGGTGGGAGGTGGGGGGCTACTCGTCACTGCGGTGCACAGGCTTCTCATTGCAGTGGCTTCTCTTGCTGCAGAGCAAGGGCTCCAGGCACACAATAGTTGTGGTACATGGGCTTAGTTGTTCGTGGCATGTGGGATCTTCCCAGACCAGGGATCGAACCTGTGTCCCCTGCATTGGCAGGCAGATTTTTAACTACTGGACCTCCAGGAAAGTCCTATCAGTGGACTTTTAGAGCTTTTGCCATGATAGGACGGTGCTCATTCATTTGTTGAATGAAGTGAATTGGAGATGATCTCTGTGGTCCCTCCAGCCCAAATACCTTTATGTTTATCACTTCCAAGTGCCATGTCTTACTTTGTAGTGATGACAAAACTCTTATCCTTAATATGGCAGCTTTCTTCTAGTCTTGTCCTAATTGCAGGTATTAGTAATTAGCAGAGCTAGTAAACTGGACTGCTTTCTAGTTGTAACAGGGCTTGACTGGCACATATGCCTAACTGGGAAATTTGGGCCAGCCCTTGCTGTTGTGATTTAGAGAAGTTTTAGAGTATGTTTGGAAAGTGCTTCCATTTGATTAACATAGTTAAATTTATTTTTCTTGTAATGGAACCAAGTTGTTTTGACACCTTAATTTTGTGTATGCTACGCACATTCTTCTTTCTTTTTTTCTCTTTTTCACTGTCGTGTCTATTTTTCTGTTCAGGTGTTGTCTGTAGCCAACTCTGATCAGATGGTGGAAACTAATGAGACCAAATGCAGATTCTGAGTATAGTGATGTTTTAGCGGTCATTAAAGAAATGGGATCAAGAGAAAATGTAGGCTGTTCACACCTAATAGATGAACAGAGTTAGTTCTGTAGATACTTTGTAGTATTCATAATTACACTTATAGCGTATATTAGGTGCCAAGCACTCTTCTAAGCACCTTTCGCGTATCGGATCAGGTAAGCCTTACCACTGCAGGATGAGATAGGTACAGTTACCTCCATTTACAGATCAGGAAGTGGATGCAGGAGTGCCGAGTCACGCACGGGAGGGGTCATGCACAGAGCGGGAACACCGGCCATGACCTGTATGAGAGGTTTGTGTTGTAGTCTTCCAGATGTACTGCTACCCAAGGCAGTGATTTCAAGTGTTTTTGAAATAGTAATACCCAGCTGAAATTTAGTTTTGGTACATCTCTCATGTGTACATTTATTATTAATTTTAATAAAATTTTATTTTATTAGTAAATATTTAGTAAATCCTTCATTGAAGTGTTAATGCAGAAAAATAAGCAAATCATAAGAACGGGAAAAGCACAAATCTTGAATTATCACAAAATGAATACACCCAGGGCAGGAAGCAGAGCATTACCAGTGCCGCAGAATCCTCCTCAAGGCCCCCCTTTCCCGGTTATAACTACCACTCTGGTTCCCGTTTTTGACCTTTTCATGTACATGTTTTTAAAATGAATTAAACTTTGGGGAAAGTCTTGATTCCCTTAAGTCAAATAGAAACATCTTAGGGTGTTTTGTGTTGATAGAGTTGATTTGTGGAGTTTACTTCCTAAATACTTAGTTTTAATAGAGATTCTGGTGTGAAGAACCCATAACCCAAAGTAGAATGATCTTGTGGTGCCCATCACTGCCGGGAATCCTGAAGGGTCTGAGACTTTCTTATAGGTTTGAGAGTGAGCCTGCCTTAGTTTTGCAGATGTGGAGGAAGACAGGAGGCCCTTGGTCAGAGAGAAAGGGCCTGTTGTGTGTAGCACAGCAGGATTCGTGTGCACATCTGCCCCTGTGCACCCTAACTTCTAAGGCCCAAGGGGATGCTGCGCACACCACGGGTTTGTGTCATAGCTTACGAGGGGGCTGCTAGCAAACCTGTCCAGCCCTTGCCTCAAAGGGACGCTAGCTTACTATCCCGGTCAGGAAACAGAGTTCTCAGCCAGGAGGAAGACACTGTCCACAGTGACAAGGAAGATATTCTTGGACAGTTTTCATGACACAAAATTTCATATCAGTTTTTGATATAATATGTGGAGAAACACCATGAAGATGTAATGTCCACACCTCGTATGGAGTATTAAGCAGTAGGGTGAGGCCACCCTGAGCACTGACCACAGCTATGCTGAGGGTCACAGCTGGACAGATACCATAAACCGTGAGTATCTGTTCACTCATTCAGTCACAAAGTATTTCCTGAGTTAGGATTATGAGTGAAATATGATCATTGCCCTTTGAGAGCTTGCAGTCAAATAACAAGTGGTCATCCTACCATTTAACATGTGCAGTGAGTGTCCTTGAGTTCTGCATGGCCCCACAAGGTAGAAAGTGGGGGGGGGAGGCCAAGGGCCGGTAAGGCTGCTCTCACTCTGGAAGGAAGATTTCAGTAGCAGCAGGTGGTGTTGGAGCACCAAAGGCAGGAGACCCATTAGATGCCACTGTAGTCCAATTAAGACTTCTTTACATCTCTTTTTATGCCTGTAACCTATGAGCTGTGGGTTTTTTGTTTTCTCGCATTAACTCACGTCATCGTTGATGATGCTCTTCCTAATCTCAAGTCACTTTATTTCTTTATAACTAGTACTCTCAATTCAGTGCAAGTTCTTCAGGTGCAGCTCCTCCCTTTTTTGCTGTCCAGCCTTGTTGTTTGATATGGCGTGTAGTACAATAATTACTTTGAAGAGTCTTCAGTCTTTAGAATATGTCAGTGAGGAAGTTTATAGAATTCCAGTGGACTCTTAAGCTCTGTGAGCCAAGGATGTTGTTGTTTCTTTTCTGCCCAGCAGAGTATGTTGGGGGTCTTAAAGCTTGTGGTTTGACCCTGTACAAAGTCTCTATCCTTTCTTGGCCTTATATTCTTTATCTGTATGATGAGAGGGTTGGACTGAGTGTTTTACAAGGGCTGTTTCAGATCTGTCATTCATGACTTTTAAGTGCTTTGATAACGAATTCTCTGTTGGTCCAGTGGGTAGGACTCTGCGCTCTCACTGCTGAGGGCCTGAGTTCAGTCCCTGGTTGGAGAACTAAGATCCCACAAGCTGTGTGTTGTGTCCAAAAAAAGAAAAAAATGTATTGATAAGGAATTCCCTCTGCACTGTCACTGCTGAGGGCTTNAAAAAAATGTATTGATAAGGAATTCCCTCTGCACTGTCACTGCTGAGGGCTTGGATTCAGTCCCTGGTTGGAGAACTAAGATCCCACAAGCTGTGCAGCGTGTCTAAAAAAAAAGAAAATGCCTTGGTAAATGCAAACTGTAGATATGAATAATATACCTTTGTTACATATAACTATATAAAACTATATATAAATATGCACATATAATTACATGGAACTCTATAAAATTAGTTGGGATTACACAAATGAAAAAGTTTGTAGGATTATTTTCTGTATGACACTAAGTAAACATAAAAATTTCAAAAGAAGAGTGTTAGTTTAAAAGCTTGTAGAATGTATAGTGGCAGGAGTCATCACAGCCAGAGTGGTCTTCTTGTGAAGAATCCTTGGCAGTCATTTCCAGTGATTTTCTTCCCTCGGTCACATCTGGCTATGGATGAGCAATGGGGGTGCTGTGGTGCAGAGCTCCTGGGGACCTTGGTGCTCTGGGACAAGTACGAGTCTGGCCCCAGCCCTTACTTGTCTCCTGAGTCGGGTGCAGTCTCCCTCCTGCCTGTCACAGGTGGTGTGAGAGTCCTTGTAGGTGCGGGCCTGGCCATGTGCTAGAGTCTCCCGTGGGCTCAGAATCCAGATCACGCCCTCCGTGTTGGTGTCCCGGTGTCTCTGGTCCAAGTGTCCAAGTCCTGGTTTAGGCTCGCCCACCCACTAATGTGTGCCCTTTCCTTCAGAGGCAGAGTGACCTTGGCTGTGGTGCACACCAACCTAGGAACCAGATGAGCAGAGACATCTGCGTCCAAACCTGGCCATGCTCCTATTATTTAGAACTTGAAAAGCGATGGGTCCCTGGAAGACTTTCATTAACTTCTCTCTCACTAAAATTTATGGCTGATAAAACTAGAGAAATTCTTGTCAGCTTTCCCCTTTCTAGTATCATTGAGATCAAGAAAGAAGCCTCTCATTTTATCTTCAGTTCCATTACCATCCTGGAGAGGGACCACAACAAGCACTGGTTCAGTTCCTTGCAGCCTAGTCGGAATGCCGTCTTCAGCATCATCGAGCATTTCTGGAGAGAGCTGCTGTTGTCCCAGTCCGGAGCTGCTGCTGAGGCGTCCTCCTCCTCCGTGACCAAGGGGAAGGAGCTGACTTGTCTGATGGCCTGTACCCAGAAGCGTCTGGAAGACACAGCCAGAGTCCTGCACCATCAGGGCGAGCAACTTGACAGTATCTCCAGAGGCCTGGACAAGATGGAATCTGACCTGGATGTGGCTGACAGGTAGGCAAACACTGTAATCCTCACCTGACCTTGGAGTGGCTGTGGTATGGTATCTTTTCCATCATCCTCTATTTATTTCACATTCAGCTTCTGAAAACACAAGCTGTCCTCCTGTTGTGGACAGTTGCACTGAGCTGACTGCTGCGGGCAAACAGATAAATGAGGGCCAGCATTCACGGAGTGTGCAGCATGTGCCAAGGACAGTTTTAAGTGTTTATGGGGATTTCCTCGTGCAGTCACCAGACAAGCCAAGAAGAGCATGTTGTTCCTCGTTTTGTCCATGGGAAAACTGAGGCTGAGAGGCCAAGTAATTTGTTCAAGGTCACTTGAACACACTAAGTTTGTTGGCATAGTTTATCTTAATTTTTTTTTCATACCTGTGTAGCAGCAAGGTTTGAGCTAAAGCATTTCGGCTTCAGAAACTGACATCTTAGCCACTGCGCAAAACCACTCTCAAACCTTCAGTCTGGGGGACCACCTCATTCTCCTTAAAAACTGAGTACCCAGAGAGGTTTTGTTTATGTGGGTTGTAAGACTGTACTTTCAGGGATCGTTTCTATAGCTTGTTTATGTGCGTTGTATATACCAGTATGTGCCATATTTTTTAAAAAACTAATCCATTAAATAATTATTCACTTAAAACGCACAACGATAAATCCATGTTCTCAGTTCGGTTCATTCGCTCAGTCATGTCTGACTCTTTGCGGCCCCATGGACTGCAGCATGCCAGGCTTCTAGTAACATAAATAACATTTTTTTAATGAAAAATAATGAAAAATAACTTTTATAAAGCATAATGTGTAGTGAGAGGAGTGTCACTGTTTTAAGATTTTTTGCACCTCTCTTTAAAATAAAGCTTAGTATAAACAGCTGAATTCTCACGCTTGCTTCTGTAGTCAGTCTGCTGTGCCATCACAAGTCACATGTGATGTCACAAGTCTCTGGAAACGCTGCTCTACACCTGTGAGAGAATGAGAGTAAAAAGCTACATAGCACTGTGGTATTGTATGAAGTAGTTTTGACCTCCCAGACTCCTTTGGAAGGTCTCAAAGACCACACTTTGAGAAGTGCTGTGCTAACTATATGACCTATAAGATAAGTCAGGGACCTTTGAGTCTAGTAGGAGTGACCCCTCCCTCCCTGGCGTCTGGAGCTCAGGATGCGGTGACAGTCTCAGGGTGGGCCCTGAGTGTGGGTCCTCCGCCTCTCAGACCGGGGGTGCGTGACTGCTGTCTGCGAGACCCTTGCTTCTGAGCGACCACACTCTGGAGCCTCCACCTGTTGCTGTTTCTAAGCACTATCTGGTAAAGGGCTTTGTGCTAGAGCTGCAGGGAACTGGGCCCTGCTTCTTATCCTTAAGAGGAGGTGCTTACGGTGAGTGAGACGTAACGTCATCAAACCTCTGTGAGCTTTCCTCATGGGAACAAGGCTAGGCATTTTCCCAACATCATCAGACCTCTGTGAGCTTTCCTCGTGGGAACAAGGCTAGGCGTTTTCCCACTCTTCTTGCAGCTCAGGAGTCATGCAGCCGAGTTGTAACCGAAGTGATGTTGGCCACTTGCAGGCCTAGACTCTAAAAGCTCCCCCACCCAATCTCTGAGACTGTCTGCCCCTTTATCTGCTGAAATCCTTCCGGACTCGAGGCGCTAGGACAGAACATTCGTTAGATAGAGTTTAGGGCCCCAAGTGGCCTCCCAGGGCAGAACCGTGATCTGGGCCCTCAATTGGACTGCAATGTGAACAAGCGATAGTCCTTTGTTGGGGCTAGGCCCTAAAGGTTCTGGGAGTTGTTTGTTACAGCAGGCAATGCTCGTAGACTAACACAACAGTCCGGTAGGAAATAGAGACACCTATTAAATAGCTTCAACATACAACAGAACATTGAGATTAGAGATTTAGAAGAATGTGCATCTACACTGGAAATCAAAGAAATGTACACTAAAATTATGGAAATCTAGGTTTTAATGATCAGATTAATAACAACTAAAAGTAAGAATTCTGTCGTTGTTCTTCTGTTGCTAAGTAGTGTTTCACTCTTTGCAACCCCATGGACTGTATCAGGCCAGGCTCCTTTGTCCTCCACTATCTCCCAGAGATTGCTTAAATTCATGTCCATTGAGTTGGTGATGCTATCTATCTATCCCATCCTCTGCCACCCCATTCTCCTATTGCCTACAATCTTTCCCAGCATTAGGGTCTTTTCCATTGACTTGGCTCTTTGCATCAGATGGCCAAAGTATTGGAGCTTCACCTTCAGCAGCAGTCCTTCCAATGAATATTCAGGGTTGATTTCCTTTAGGATTGACTGGTTGGATCTTCTTGCAGTCCAGGGGACTCACAAGAGTCTTCTCCAGCACCACAGTTTGAATGCATCAAATCTTCAGCACTTCCCTGGTGGCTCAGGAGGTAAAGAATCTGCCTGCAATGTGGGAAACCCAGGTTTGATCCCTGGGTTGGGAAGCTCCCCTGGAGAAGGGAATGGCCACCCACTCCAGTATTCATGCCTGGAGAATTCCGTGGACAGAGGAGCCTGGCCTGGCAGGCTACAGTCCATGGGGTTGCAGAGTCGGACACGACTGAGCGATTCCCACGTTCTCACTTCGCCTTCTTTGGGCTTCCCAGGTGGCACTAGTGGTAAAGAACCAAGCTGCCAGTGTAGGAGACATAAGAAACGTGTGTTCGATCCTTGAGTCGGGAAGATTCACTGCAGAATGTGAGTGAACCCACTCCAGTATTCCTGCCTGGAGAAGCCCATGGACAGAGGAGCCTGACAGGCTGTAGTCCATAGGATCGCAAACAGCTGGACACAACTGAAGCAACTTTAGTGCGCACACGGGCAATCTTCTTTATGGTCCAGTTCTCACATCTGTACATAACTACTGGAAAAATCATAGCTTGACTATATGGACCTTTGTTGCCAAAGTGATGTCTCTGCTTTTCAATATGCTATTTAGGTTTGTCATAGCTTTGCTTCTAAGGGGCAAACACCTTTTAACTTCATGGCTGCAGTCACAGTTGGCAGTGATTCTGGAGCTCAAGAAAGTAAATTCTGACACTGCTTCCACTTTTTCTGTTTGCCATGAAGTAATGGGACAGGATGTGATAATCTTAGTTTTTTCAATGTTGAATTTCAAGCCAGCTTTTCACTCTCCTCTTTCACCCTCATCAAGAGGCTCTTTAGATCCTCTTTGCTTTCTGTCATTAGAGTGGTATCATCTCCATATCTGAGGTTATTGGTATTTCTCTCAACAGTCGTGATTCCAGCTTGTGATTTTTCCAGCCTGGCATTTCACATGATCTGCTCTGTGTATAAATTAAATAAACAGAATGACACAGTACAGCCTTGTCATACTCCTCTTCCAATTTTGAACCAGTCCACAGTCCATTGTCTGTGTCTGTGTTGCCTCTTGACCCGCATGCAGGTTTCTCAGGAGACTGGTAAAGTGGTCTGGTATTCCCATCTCTTTCAAAATTTTCCACAGTTTGTTGTGATCCACACAGTCAAAGGATTTAGTGTAGTCAATGAAGCAGAGTAGATGCTGTTCTGGAACTCCTTTGCTTTCTCCATGATCCAGCAAATGTTGGCAATTTGATCTCTGGTTCCTCTGCCTCTTCAAAACCCAGCTTGTACATCTAGAAGTTCTCAGTTCATGTACTGCTGAAGCCTGACTTGAAGGATTTTGAGTGTAACCTTGCTAGCTTGTGAAATGAGTGCAGTTGTAGAATAGTTTGAACATTCTTTGGCATTGCCCTTTCTTTGGGATTGGAAAGAAAACTGACCTTTTCCAGTCCTATGGCCACTGCTGAGTTTTCTAAATTTGTTTACCTACTGAGTGCAGCACTTTAACAGCATCATCTTTTAGGATTTTAAATAACTCAGCTGAAATTCCATCAGCTCTGCTAGTTTTGTTCATAGTAATGCTTCCTAAGACCCACTTGACTTCACACTGCAGGATGTCCAGCTCTAGGTGAGTGACCACACCATCGTGATTACGCGGGTCATTAAGAACTTTTTTGTGTCGTTCTTCTGTGTATTGTTGCCACTTATTCTTACTCTCTTCTGTTTCTGTTAGGTCCTTACTGTTTTTGTCCTTTATCATGCCCATTCTTGCATGAAATGTTCCCTTGATATCACCCCTTTTCTTGAAGAGATCTCTAGTCTTTCCAATTCTATTATTTTCCTCTATTTCTTTGTGTTGCTCGTTTAAGAAGGGGTTCTTCTCTCTCCTTGCTGTTTTCTGGAACTCTGTATTCTTGGGTATGTCTTTTCCTTTCTTGTTTCTCTTCTTTCCTCAGCTATTTATAAAGCCTCTTCAGATGACCACTTTGCCTTCTTACATTTGTTTTTCTTGGGGATGGTTTTGGCCACTGCCTCCTGTACAGTGTTTCAAACCACCATCCATAATTTTCAGGCACTCTTTCTACAAGACCTAATCCCTTGAATCTATTTGTCACTTCATCTGTGTAATCATAAAGGATTTGATTTAGGTCATCCTAGAATGACCTAGTTGTATCCCCTACTTTCTTCCATTTAAGCCTGAATTTTGCTATAAGGAGCTCATGATCTGAGCCACAGTCAGCTCCAGGTCTTGTTTTTATTGATTGTATGGAGCTTCATGATCTTTGGCTGCAAAGAATAGAATCAGAATAACAATTGGTATAATCCTTTTGGAGAACAACTGGGTGTTTTGTAAATCTTCTTTCGACAAAAGACAAAGTGAAAGGATGACCCTGAGGTGGGAAGAAAGTAGTTGCGATACCTACCCATATCCCAACAAAAGATTAATATCTAATTAGTTAAAGCCCAAATGAGAAAAAGACAATTCAACAGAAAAGTTAGCAAAGGTCGTTGATTGGATTTTAGACTAACAAGCCACTATAACAGAGATCCAAAAATATTGTGGTTGATAAAAGCTAGAAGTTTAATATAATGGTCCAAAGGAAGGTAGGTATCCCAGGCAGATATAAAGCTCTGCTTTACACCATCACTTGGGGCTGCG